TGACACAACACCAACATGAACATTAAGGAAATTAAGATATTCTGTAAGCTTTAATTTTACAGTAACACCACTTGTGCCATATTGACCTACAAAAGTATCATTCTGTCCTACATTTGCTTCTACAAGTTAGGGGATTGTCTGTGTTGTTGGCAGTAGGAGCCACTTACAATCCTGTGTCATTTCCAGCTCCTCTTCGGTCTGCCTCTCCAGCGCCAGCAGTAATCTACATTCCTACGCTCGGCTTCCTCCTCCTCCTCTCTCCAGCAGCACCTTGTCGCCCCCCAGAGGTCATGGCCGGGAGTGTCGGCGCAGCAGGGTAGAGCTCATGTTTACCTGCTTCCACTCTTTGCTTTATCATCACTCACTGTCACTCATGTGAACATGGTATCTGAAGATCAATTCAAAAGAGTTTTGAACTCCTTTTTTTAAATTTGAGTGTCATTTATTGTCTTTTACATACCAAAACGAACCTCCAAGCCATGTGCCAGAGAAAGCTATGAGCTGCTGCAGTGTTTGTTTAGAGTGCAAACATACAGCTCTTGGCTCTATGGGCAGCTGTTTTCATAATATAATGTTGAGTATGATATAATGCTACCGCTCATGCTTCCACAGAAGAGCAGCGAATGTGGCTCTGCAGTGTCGACCAGATCCTCTCTGTCAGATGAAGACATGGGAGCGTCTCCTGGCCACCCACCGCCTGGCACTGTTTTCTCAAAGGTAGACACATGCACACGCTGAGTGTGACTAGGTGAATCAATCAGAAGGCTTCTCTGTGAGATTTAATTTGAGGCCATTATTTTTATCTCAGAGCAGCTCTTCTCTGTCATCAGGCACTCATCTGCGTTTCCACAGTGGCTCTAATGTGGAATGGCAGGACGTGGAGGACCTGGACTCTGCTGAGGAAGACTCTGGTGATGTAATGGTACAGTGCAAGAAGCTTGTGGCTTCACTTAGACTTATTGATTTGATTTTCCTTCTTTAGTGCTATGTGGACTCTGTTCAGTTCAGTGTTAATGTATTTTTAACAGCTGCAATCTGTAACATTTGAGTAGAAGGCACGTCATTTTTCTGCCAATGGTGGAGAATGAAAATATATAGTCTGTGTGCAAAAATGAGCAACGATCCACCAAAATAAAGTAACCGTACATATTAGTAAAAACACTGATTGCTCTTTTGCAGAGTTATGGCTCTGAGGGTCTGCAGCTGGTGGAGCATTCGAGATCGTGCTGTCTGGCCACGCTGTCCTACAGCTGACCTTCGACCCCGGGGCATTCGGACATGCCCCCATGACCGCCCGGTGCCAACTTGATCACCCCTTCTACGTCAAAACAAAGGTAGGGGCGATACTGAGAAAACACTAACTGTGAAAAACATGAAACTGACTTCTTTACACTCAGTCTTACTTTCCGTTAGGGTGGTCGTCATTTTATCCGAGCTTGACCGTGGTGCATCATGGAATACCGTGCTATGAAATGGAGGTGGGAGGTGTGTGCCTTCCTCCAGGGCACAGAGATGCCAAACACACCGACGACTCACTGGTCTTTGACACATTCAGGAGGTAAAATAGGCGCTTACAGTATAATGCTCCATTAAACTTTGCAACTTGTAAATATCCACATATTTTTAACTGAAAATGATTTAATATTAATGCTGAGTGCTGTCCTAAACCTAAAGCAACAGAAAGCCCATCAGCAAATAGAAAAGCCTTTTGTTATGTCTGTCCTCCTCAGTTACGATTTCACTCCTCTGGACTCCTCTGCGGTTTACGTGTTGAGCAGTATGGCCAGACAGCGCGTGCCTCCAGGTCCAGCGGGGAAGCAGTTTCTCCAGACAGAGACAATTACAAGGTGCTGTTCTTCAAATCTTCTAAATTTTAAGAGAGCCGACTGTGTGAATAAGCAGAAACATTAAGACCAGCCAGCGTTCGGTTTGCAAAATACATCAATAACACTCAGGCAAGGTTAAGGATGTGTTTCAGAAAAGAGGAAGAAAACAAACCTGTCAACTGTGGATCTGTTTAAACCTGCAGACGACCACAGTCCAGGCCCCTCCCACTCTCCTCGCCAAAAGCCAACCAAAAGCCAGCATGCCAGCACAGCAGGAAGCAGCAACGCCACGCCAATCAAGTGCAAGCGGCCAATGAACGCCTTCATGCTGTTCGCCAAGAAGTTCAGGGTGGAGTACACACAGATGTACCCAGGCAAGGACAACAGGTGGGCGTGCTCTGTGTCTAAATGTGTGTTGTGAAGCAGCGGCGTTTCAAATGTTGATTCGAAGGTAATGTGTGTGTGTGTTTCAGAGCGATCAGCGTCCTCCTTGGTGAGCGGTGGAAGAAAATGCGAAGTGAGGAGCGGCGGGTGTTCACGGTGCAGGCCAAAGCCCTCGCAGACGAACAGAAAAGACTCAACCCAGACTGCTGGAAACGCAAACGAGCCAACTCTGTAAGGGCGCGCACACACACACACACACACAACACAGCTGAATTCTAAAGTCTAATTTCTCCTCTGTGTCCAACAGGGTTGTCAGGGAAATTAGGGCTGCAGACAAGAAGAGGGAACAATGAGCACAGCCTGTCGGAGTACACAGGGTTATGGAGTTATGATGTGTAATAATATGCTTCATTATATTTTGTTAACAAAATAGCAGTAGCGTCTACTTTTTGTAGACAGTTTGAGCTGCTTTAAAACAAGTCACTTCCCTTTCTCTCGCTTATGGAAGGGGCTGGATGTAACATTTTAAAGTGGTATAAATCACTACCTGTTAATAGAACACCACATTTTAACGCTACAGAGCACCGCCACGTCTCCCTCCTGAGAGGACGCTCTTTCCAAACTAAATTATAAAGCAGATCAGCTGGGTTTTATCTATGACTGGAGTTCATCTTCATGACTGATTTTACAGGAATATGACAAAACAAAAGAGAGAGAGCGAGATTCAGATTATTTTCAGTTTCTCTTCATATGCTTGAAACAGGTGGAGGTTGTGGTGCTGTAGCATTTTAGGTAGAGAATGTAGCTATTTTCCCAAAGTGATATATGTAAAGATATATACAAAGTATTTTCTTGCCTGTATTACTTGCATTTGCACAAGACTATATATTTAACTTTGCTTTTGTGTCATTTATCATGTAATAATTAGTTACTAAACAAATGTAGACCATAAATTCACAAGTAGTGGCCCGGAGGTTTTATTTACCTCAACTTTTTAACCAAATTTTTTTAGTGAGAGGCCTTTATATCTAAACATTCGAAGCATTTCCAGCAGTTCAGGAGACACACTCCCTTCACTTCACTCTGGATAGCTTTTATTTTGAGTGAGCTAAGTGATGAGTTTCCCCGACAGTTGCTTGAGGAAGCACAATGAAATACACATTGTGCTGATGGAATTAATGCTGTGGTTTTATTAAGCTAAATTTTCTGACAGCCATTGTAGTAATAGCATTTTTCCTTGGTCTTTTGTTTTTTTTGCTTTCATTTGAGAATTTACTGTGATTAATACGTATTTCACAAAGGATATAAAATTGCGTAGCGTATGTTACTGAAGACTGACACAAGGACTTGATTTGGATTTGTCTGCCATCATCTACACTGCTGAAGTGTTCTTTAGCAAGACACTGGAACCCCAGCAGTTGTAGGGGGCAACTGAAAAGATACTCAGTGTAGGAATTCATATGTATTTGCTTTTGATTCTAACATTTTAATGTGCCATAATAGGATTCCTTGTGTCTTATCAAGTACAATATGTGTGTGTATAATCAAAGAAACATTACTGGTGAGGGTTGATGAGGGTTCATGTTACTCAAGAAGTTTCCGGAGAAAGTTAGCTTCCACAAATTATAAATGAGATTTTCAGTGTTTGTCTTGTTCCTCTATAAAATCATATACAACTGTAGTTGTTTGGCCCCACCCCTGTGGTTTATCTCCCCTCGTGTGTTTTGATGGCTTTACTTTATTTCAAAAGCAGGAAAAGATTATAAAACCATTTCTAGCCTCCATAAGGCAGACACTCGTAAAACTAACCTATTTTTGACAGATAGGATGGGAAGAGACAGATTAGGGCACATAGGACACAATAAATTGTGTAAATATCCTAAATAAAAACCCAGCCTATGTAATGTGATATTAACTCCAGTACAGAGCGCATGTAAACACACCCACTGCAAACATAACAAACATCATTAGGAAACTGACAGGGGTGTGGGAGCCCAGGTGTGTGAGGCTTTAGAAGCAAGTGATTGAATGAATGCGCTTGTACTTACCTTCACAGAGTTATATCGATGCAGAGAGAACGGCAGGATGGGGATCTGCTTAGGGTTTAAATGCTTGAGAAACTTGACATGTTTACAGAAACAGTAAAAAAAAATTAACTAATAATCTCACTGCGTAACGAGGTTTATTCTTAACGCACTATATACACTTTATCTTATGTGACTGCTACAGTATAATGTGTATGGCAAATATTAATGTGATTCTATAGAAATCTATATTTTTGGTTTTGACTTAATCTTTGGTAACCGTTCATGGTTGTGCATTGATTATTTATCTTTTGTGTATCGTTACCATCATGTCATGTACAGGTCGATCAGGGGAGACAATGCAATATAGTGTATTATAGTATGAATAAAAGCATGATAACTCAATAAACCTATTTGTCCTGTGTCTTTGAATGTTTGAGACTGTTTAAGAAAAGTAAGGGAAACGTTTGAGAGTAGAACATTTTATTTTAATTATTTAAATCATACACAAGGTTTGAAAAAAATCTTAAATCATGTTGCTTCAACATGTTGCTATATACAGACTGCACCAGTTTATGGCTGGAGAAACGGGTATAGACATTAAGATGCTACTGTAATCATAAAGATAAAAGAGATAACATTCCATTAAAACTATAAACATGATCAATATTTCCAGGCTAAAATTATCAAATAGAATCCACACAGTTATATGTGTAAATGACTAGAAAATCACTTTTTTTCTTATAGTAAAATAGAAAATATAGAGGTACAGTATAAACATACAGTAATTTGGCCTTTTGATGTATTCAGGGATATTTAAACAGAAAGACACATTACAGTTAGATCTGGTTCAAATCACTGTCTGGTTCAGTTGCAGGAGCCTCTAAACGATTTGTGCCATTTTGCATCCCCACGTGAGCTAAACAAATGGCACAAAGTGGAACAGTGGCACAGACAGAAGCTGCAATGTTACAAGTGATTGAGAGGTTGATTGATCGTGTCTGACGCCCTCCCTCAAAAATAAAAACAGTCACAGCAAGTGGCACAGGGAGGCAGAAGACCTGCGTGGATCCACAGTCTCAGCTCTCATTTTCAGTCCGTGCCAGTAAGGTTTAACAGAAGTCCACCAATTTGTGTCATTGTCTAAACAATGTGACCACTGTCTCAGCTGAATGATGTCATGATTTTCTTACAGCTGATTATAGTGATTGATTATTCTGTCGCAGGAGTGGTTAGAGATGTTTTGATATATGTTTTTCTATATTCTGAAGACACGTTATCATTGGAGTCCATTGTTAACTCACACAGATTCAAACTTTTTACAGCCACCTGTCACGCGTGTGTTTGTGTGGAATATCATTTTAAATCCTAGATTACATCTTTTACATCTGAGCCCAATGCCATTTTTCCCCTCTCCTCTCGGATTTTACACACCAAAGTAACGAGCGAAGATGCAAAAAAGTCACAGGTCATTATTTTGGCATATTAGTCACACAGTTGTTGTATCAAAAGCGGTTTAAAGTACAATAACATGAATTACAAAAGGCACAAGGTACCAGAGACCATGATGTCAGACAGGACATGAACAGAGACATTCAACAGCAGTAAACACCCGCAGTCATTTTACTGTCACTAGTGAAGCCTTAAGAGATTTTGGTTATTCAAAACATTACTCTAGATAAGGATACACGGTAGTTTGAGCCCCACAATCTGCTGGTTAATGTGCAGTGCATAAAATATTAGGTAGGAAAAACAAGGGTTTAGGGTAATGTCTTTTCCTGCATCATTTCCCCTTTTTTTAACATTGAAAGCTACTTCTACTTTCAACTGTATTTTTCATAAATCTTGCTTTAATTTTGTTTGTTTCGCCAGTTTAACATTTTATTGATAGTTATTTAAATTTTTTTGAGGAAAGGTGTTTTACATGAGCAATGAAAAAAGCAAAAAGTAACAATAAAAAGGGTCAAATGAAAGAAGCGACAAATAAGAGAAAGAAATGTTAAAGAAAGAAATAGACAAGTTATGAATTTAAGGTAGATGTGTTATTGGAATCAAATAGCTCACTCCTTCTATCACATTGAAAAATCTTATTTTTCCAATTTCTCAATATTTCCAATTACATTTTAGGTAGAACTTCTTTTTTGATGTTTTTTTTTAAATTTTATTTGTTTATTTCATTCAGTTTTTAGTGAAAGCCAACAAAAGGTTACTGGCTGTCGCTCTGCTGCATTAGGCTCCAGGCTGACCAGCAACAGATACACAGCTGGAAGGTTTGCAGGTTCTTGTTGGAAAAGCAGAGAAACGGTTATAAAATGACTTCTCAATTGTAAATAATGACTTTATTAATGGGTAATACATTATTTACTAATGCTTTATAGATCCGTTATTGGGTTGCCAAAAAATGCAATTGGCTGGTGTTTGTTCTTTCTACACTGTAAAAACAGTCACTTTCTAATAAAGTATGTAGTTAAAACGTTAACAAGCCATTAACAAAGGGTTTAATCAGCAAGTCTGCAGTTTTTAATACGATGTTACTAAATGGATATTGATCCATTTCTTCTGCAGTCCTTTTCCAGAAATAACTGCAACCTCTGCAACACAAACATAGTTTATTTAAAGAATTATAACTGATCTATAAAGTATTTGCAAATGATTTATTAGCCATTAATACAGCCATTAGTTACCCCCAAAATAGGACTCCTTTTTAAAAAGTGTTGCCTTTTCTCTTTCAAAGGATGAGTCATATCATAGATGTTTGGTTACTTTACATGAAATGAAAAACGCTCTGTGTCCAGCAGATTTTGCAGCTTAGCCTGCTGCGCATGCTAACACTGACAGTATGAAACATCAAGGTTATTTAAATGGCTTGTCTAAACCTGCCAGTCCTGTTTAGTGGCCACCTGTTTTTTAATAAAAAACAGCAACCTGTGAATGGCAAAAAGCCTTCGGATGTAGTCACTGTGTATCAGACAGCTAAAGTGCTGTTTTGGATTACTTGACGTTTTACTGGACTATACTGTGTTCTTGGGTTTTATTTCTGTAATTTGAATAATGATTGTTGAGCATAGTGTACCTTAAAGCATTAGCATGCACAGTGGACGCAGCTATGAACCACAGACACAGAAATGATTGTGTTCATCCTCTCATCACATGATGGGCAGAACCTCAGTCTACACTGGTGTGTGTGTGTGTGTGTGTGTGTGTGTGTGTGTGTGTGTGTGTGTGTGTGTGTGTGTCTACATGAGTGACTCCAGGCTCTCAGCGATGTTAGTTTGTCCCAGTGGTACAGATCCATTGGTTTCTGGACTCTGCAGGGCTCTCTGGTCTTCCTGGCTGCTCACCAGACTCAGCACAGCGCGGTACAGATACTGGTACTGCTCCTGTGGGGGTAAAACACATTCTGAACGATATTTTATTATAGAAATACCCCTTACCAGCTACTTTCTTTATAAATGATGTTGAGGAATGTCTTTCTAGTAAATTTCTGAGGTACAATTACATTATTGTGTGTGTGTGTGTATGTGCTTACTATATCATTAAAAACACCAGGCCTCATGAGGTTAGTCATTCGTGCCACCTGGTAGACGTCTACAGCTCCCTCCTCCTCTAGCAGACTGGAAAGGGTGGTAAGGGCACAGAAGAGCCCTGATGTAGCGCCTCCCAACCTACACACAGACACAGATTTACCCCTACAAATAAAGTAACAAAAATGTCAAATCAATGAGTGACCCTGTCTATGTTGTACTCACGGATCATGTATGACTGTAGGTCCATCTGAATGTCTGCTGTGCTCTCTGACTGTGTTGACCAGATCAAAACTGTTCCTGATGGGACTGTCTGGGTTGGGCCAGCAGGTGGCGCTGTACTGACACACCTCCAAAACATAATTGTTCTAGACAGAAAGGAGAGGTTAAGATTGTTTATCTATGTGTATATGTATATATACATATATATAGTATATATACACAGTACAACATGCAGTATACTATGTGTGAGTATGTGTGTGTTACCAGTGGAGACTCCAATGTGAAGTCCTGCACTAAAAGTCTCTCGTCATTGGAAAGACAGACATGCTCCTCCCCCGAGTACGAGACAGTGAACCCCTCAAAGCTCATTGGCTGGTCTTTACTGGGCCAGTAAACATAAGACTCCCCCTCTTCACTCTGAAAATGAAAACAGAAAAACATGTGAGAGTGTGTGTTTAAAAGTACGTATGTGTGTGTGTGTGTGTCTGTGTGTCCGTTATACCTGAAAGTGTGTGTCTGGCAGACGGACTACAGTGTGTGTGTTGTGTTCCCAGATCATTCTCCAGAAATCTGCCACCGTGCTGCTCAGAGGAGTCTGGCTCACTATAAACTCCTTACTGTGGTGATATCCCTGTGAATACACGAGCAGCATAAAACTTCTAGCAAATGTTTTGCTGATGCATTAAAGAAAAGCTAAAGTGTCCTTTAATAAATAAAACAGTAAAAAAATATATATATATATATACTTCCAGATGTCTTACCATGACGTAGGAGGCATTGATGTACCCTGTGACATTTGTTTCTGAAGCGGTCAGACAGACTCTTGATCTTTCCACTGTACAAAAACACAAAGACATGAGTCAGCAATATGACACCTGAAAAAAGAGAACAGAGAAAATGTAAAATGTAAACTCTATATCAGCTGTAATGAATGAAGTAGATTTCTACTCAGGTTCTACTGTAAAGCAGGCCCTCATCATGTCAGCTGATGTTGTGCTTCAGTAGCTGCATATCCCCAAACAAAGTTACAATTCAATAAATTGCCACAAACAAATTGACACACAGGGAACTTTGGGGGGCTCTCTGTGGGTTTGGGGACCCAAAGCAGTTAGTAAACCAGGCCTGCTTACCAGGCATCAGAGCTCTGGCTCTGTTCCTCTCAGCATTGCCGTCTCTCAGGGCAGTGCTGTAGTCTGCGTGCTTCGCCTGGCGCTGGCTGATCAACTGAAACCCAACAAAAACAGTCGATTACATTTGCAACATTCAGTGGGTACACTGCATGATAAAAATTTGAGTGTTGGCTGAATGCCTGAAAGGTCAAATGAGAGAACAAAATATAGGTTTACAAAGCACGGGGGGAAAATGGCAACATGCAATACCTTGAACTGTTTGTCCATGCGTGTCCTGCCTGACGCCCCGGGGGTCAGGAGGTCAGACACGTAAGTGTGGAGGAGGTCCGATGTCACCGAGGTGTCGCGGCTCAAAATGGCCTCCACCAGAGCATCATGGATAAACACGTACTGCTCCTACACCAGAAGGAGAAACAGTTTGTTCTAACATTGAGGACACCACTGTCGGTGTGTACGTGTGCGTCTTTTTGTCAGTCTACTTACCTCCGTCTGAACCAGGAAGTTCCTCTGCGTCCGGACATGTTTTAGGAAACCAAGAACGTTCACCGTCCCCTGATCCTGGATCTGCTGCAGCATGCTGTCTATCACTATGTAGGTTCCTGTTCTTCCTACCCGGCACTGTGCCACAGATCACATGTCAAAAACATATTCAGTACATGGTATATCTGAAATAATAGCTCTCACACACACACACACACACACACACACAGAGTCTACCTGCAGTGTACCAGTACAGGTCCCATCTCCTGTGTCCGTGCCCGGGAGGATGCTCTGATGAAGGACAGGACAGGCAGAGTGTATTCTGGGACGCCCATGTCTGGCCACTGGGTGTAGTGGTAATGGAGGACTGTGTGTTCAACCTTCCTCTGAGATGTCTGGAGGACAAGAAAGGGTGTTATGTGTGTGGATACATTTATCTGAAGAGTTTTACAAAGCCAGTGTTTTTAATTTTTTAGAGCTAGTTGGAATAGAACCCCAAACTCACTTTGTTTGTTGGTGTACAGAGAGAGAGGGAGAGTGCGTGTGAAGTACCTTATATGTGGTATCTCTGACAGTGAACGTCCGCAGTGTGTAGTAAGCGAGGGTCTTGCTACTTTTCAGGGTCACCTGGTATGGACCGTATTCCTCCTGGTTCTCCTCTGGCCAGTACTGGTCACATTTTGTCTGTAGAGAGATGACGAAGATAAAACAAGATAAGATAACCGATAGAGATGTGTGAGAGAACAACGAACAAGTTTGTACAGATGGTAGCTGTGCCAGAGGTCCTTTTGCCCCTGAGTTGTAAGGAAAAATTATATATTTATACTCTTTTCAGCATGTTAGAATTTACAAGAAATAGTATACAGCTCCAACTGAGTGCTAGGGTTGCTCTGTGTTTGCTGGATGTGCAAATAAGCTGCTGTCTGCCAACACGTTCGCCTTGTCAACTTTATAAAGTGGCCACAGAATCAGTTTCTAATATCAGCTTGACAAATGCTTGTAGGCAGATCTCTACAATTAGTTTTGATGCAGTCTTCTATCCAAACAATGTAATTCTAAAACTGACACTTCCTGCTTGCTTGCTGCCACTGATAGATCAGACAGCATTGACTCTTCATGGAGATAACATTCACTTTAAAGTACATTTCAGCATCTTGTTTTAGATAACATGAAGGTAGAAGGCATTAAACCTCAAGAAAACAAGACGTCCAAACTCTACAAGCACCACAAGATTAGGAAACTCAAGCTTGACACCTACATGTGATGATGAAAAGAACAATCAATATGCAAATTGCCAGGTATATGTATAACATCAGATGAAATGTTGCTGATCTCAATGGAGAAGCTGGTGTTTGTGCAAGACTTGTGGTTGATGCAGGAGCAGCGTGACCTCCTACCCGTCCTTTCTCCTTGAGGTTGGTGATCATGACAATAACTCCAACATTCTGCTGCCAGATCATCCTCCAGAAGTCTTCCCTGCCCGCTCTGAGAGGCCCTTGAGCTGCGATATAAGCCCTTGTTCTCTCATAACCCTGCAGAGGAAACCACTATTTAGTCACAATGTACAGTGCATTTCTAACAACGGCAGACAAGACCCACCTAACACACAACGTGTTTCTGGTTTTGATTTGACTTGGAAACAGCTGAGGTGGTTTGGTCTTCACCGCTGTGCCAGTCTACTTATTAACACCCGAGGCTGACAAAAACATACTTACATCCACAAAGTTGGCATTGATGTAGTCCCCACATTTCCCATCTCTGTCCAAACTGCTGGAGAGCTTGACTCTACTGTGGTCGTCTGGGAGAGGAAAAGGTTCACCAGTTTTGTTACTGCTGTTTTTAACAACTACATATAAATTTTGAACAGTGATCCTTCACAAAGACGTACAGGCCAATATGTTGATGTATCTGTTCTTGCTTTTGTTGTCTGGGTGATTGGAGCTGTCGGTAGTGATGCCCATGTCCACTGTGCACGCCTGCACCTCCTGAAAAACAATAGAAAACACAAAGAAGATTTGGGTTAGTTGCTCAAAGTAAACTAAAACTGCTATTTAGTGCGGCAGCACTGCAGGCACTCCGGTTAACACAGTTAACATGAAATGTGAATTTTTCTTCTGGACAAGTAGGTTTTCATTTGTATCTTTTATTAGTCTGTGGCTCTCTATAATATTACCATACAATGGTTAAATGTCTACAGTGAAGACAAAGCAACAAGTCAATAAGCAGCTTCTGAATGAAGTGGAATGAACTAGAATTAAGAAAAAGTTTTGATGTGGAGAAAAAAATACATTGTTACATTAACCTTTGGTTCAGTAAGTGCACACATGTGCTAAGGCTGTTTTATGAAGAAGACTGATGCTACTGTGTGACCTCTTTGAAAGCCTCATATTCAGTAAGATGTGGGACAACAGTCTCACAAAAGCAGAATTATTAGAAAGGTAGTTGCACCAGGATGGTGGGATTTCATTGTCATAAATTATTATAAATATGTAATAATAGAATGTCAAATATGGATTAACAAAATATGTAAAATGCCACTTAGAAGGCTCCATCTCGCTTTAAAAATATATCTGTAGTCAGCTTCCGATACAAACTGAAATCTGAAGAAGCAGAGAACAGCAGCACTGCCTCAGGCAGTTCTTAATAACTAAAACTCTCATTTGCACACATATAACAAAATGCCTATCCATTACTGGCAAAGAAAAAATAAACTTTATTATAAGTTCACATATCATATCACATCTGAAAACAGATGAGACAGTACACAAATGGACTACTGGGCGGCTTTCATTTTAGACAAAACTTTTCTAGAGTTGAGGAAAAAGGAAAAGAAAGTAACACCTCTGCAAATAGAGAGGGCTGAGACTGTAGGTGTCTTACCTCATAGGATTCTTTGACAATCTAATGGAGGGTAGTGGGGATGCAGAAAGCACGACGATGTTGGTGGAGGTGGTGAAAGGAGGGTGGGGGGGGAGGCAAGATGACAGACAGACAGACAGACAGACAGACAGACAGACAGACAGGGCGTCAGTGCAGGTACAGGAATATGGGGTTCAGATACACACTGAGAGGCAGTGTTAAGTGGGAAATACACTGACATTCCCAACTGAGCTGTGGACTTTTAGCTTCCATCCAAGTTAGCCAAGTCCTATTATTCTACACTGTGACATATTAAGGAATGACCTAAAACGCTTGCGTGTATCTACAAATTAAGGCTGTGATCTGCTCCTTCAGTTTCACCTGTTTTTAAAAAATATATATAAATTAGATTAATGTAAAATATAGGCTTGTTGCTGCAGCTATAGAAAAGGCAAAAACAAAGCAACAAAATGGGGGAAAACACAAATTTGTACATGGGAGATGTTTGCTGCAATTAATCCTATCTCTGTGTGTTACTCAGGAGGTTCATGCTAGGAAACAGAGGTGACTCATGTCATGCAGATGTACCTATTGTTCAATTTAACCCACAAGCTATTCTAAAATGCCTAACAGTAAGATATGTTAATACTCCACAAGACACTCCTCAAACAGAGATGAAGGTTTGACCAGTCTGAAAGCTTGCGACAGGTAGTTTTAGCTTGATGGGATTGCGTATTTGAATTTGGAGAATCAAGCAGCACTGCCATGGTTAGTACCAAACACCCTTCCACATCATGTTGTGCATTGTAGTTACCAGTAAACATTACCACTGTGCTAAATTGCAATTCTTAAAGAACATGATGTTAATAGAGATATGGAAGAGCATTAAGGAGCTATGACGAATGAGGTACCGTCTACTTATACACATGAACCAAAACTAAATGAACACTAAGAGTTATTTTATGCTGGTTCAACCTTTGCAAGCAAATTCTGAGGGTTATTTTTCTTGTGGCTCTATATGTTCCAACCGCTATAAACTATTTGTTCCACTCATGAAGTCCACAGACATTTTGTTCAACTCACAAACTCTAATTTAGAACATCCCACGCACCTCAAACTCCTTGGAGAAGGTGTTGGTGGTGTGCAGCTCCATGACGTGCCTCACAAACTGCTTCACTGTTAGTGGCTCGTGACCGTCTGAAACCAACAGTGTTGGGTAAGTTACTCCGAAAATATTACTAGTTCTTAAAAAAGTAATATTATTACTTTACTTATTACTGATTGATAAAAGTAACTAGTTACGTTACTATATTACTTTCCAGTTTTTCCCACAGAAAGACAACGTTGGACAGGTTTGTGCAGCGGTGTTCACGAGAGAGAGAGAGAGAGAGAGAGAGAGAGAGAGAGAGAGAGAGAGAGAAAGAGGGAGCGAGCCAGGAGGTGCTGCACGAGTATGCGCTCCTCAATACAGCTCCTTAATAAAAAATTATTTTAAATACGCCTAGTAAAAACTTGGGAAATCAATATGGCCGTCCGCATTGATAATTATCCAAATTATAGGCTGATTATGGCAAACACTGCTTTCCCTACCACCCCCTTCCCCCCCAAACAAAGAAGTCTCCCCCGATTTTTTAACTAACATCATATTCATAACAGAAGCAAGGACTGTGGTTTTTACAAAGCATATAGCCTAGGCCTAACGTTTCTTCACGACACCGGCTGAAATAAAAAATAAAGCACGTAAATCCCGACTTTTAAACAGCTGTTTTACTGCACATGTAGCCTATTTATAAGAGCAGTATTCAGTTGTTACAAAATGTTATGTAAATGCCACTCTCTCCTGACAAGTCCAGCATCAGTGACAGCAGCTGCCAAAGTTTCTTCCTGTAAGTTTCACGTTGCTGTGTTGCTTCAGCTGATGCTTCAATAAATCAGATGTAGAAATGTTTCCGGTTGAAAGCTTACACCAGACAACAATGTTCTTTGCATCTTAGACTGTGACATAATAATGGCAGTAGCTTCTTACAGCTGTGGATAGAACGCCTCTCTCCCTTGTTCTACATTCTTCCTTTAGTTTTGGCTTTCAGCGGCCATGAACAACAAAGTCCGGTCCAGCTGAGCTGTCGCACAGTCGTGGATTCACATCAAGGATGGTGCGTTCAGTAACGTGTAACGCAGCGTTACTTGCCTTAGTAACTAGTAATAATATTACCCTTTTAGAAAAGTAATTAGTTACACTACTTAGTTACTGGGAGAAGTCATATTATTATAGTAACGCGTTACTGCCCAACACTGGAAACCAAAGGGTGAATGTTTGCTTAACATTTTCAGCCCAGTACTGTTTGATATCACCATGTTTATGTAATAATGTTTTATGAATGTGTGTGTGTGTGTTTGTGAGTGTGTGTGTGTTACCTGAAGCCAGCAGCAAGGGTGTAGATGGAGCAGATATGACTTTAGGTGATGCACTGTCATCTGGGTAGAAATTTGCCACCTGGAAACAGTTTCTGTAACACAAACAAATAAAGAAACTGTGAGGTACACAGGTGAAAATGCTCCACACTGTAAAACATTATAGACCCATTAGTTATTTCAACTTACTTCTTCTTTTTAACACAAATAGCTCGAGCAAGTTTTGGATTTTGGACTCACTATATGAGTTTTAGAAAGTTAAACTTGCATTAATTCATTGTGTTGACTATTTGAGACTTTTGTCGTGTTGATTGAACCTGCGTATGTAAGTTATCAGTTGTAAAATGTAAGAAAAAGGCGAGTGTGCGAGGATGGGAGCAAGAGAAAAAAACTGCCTAGTTGCTGCAACATTTGAGTTTGAGAGAAACATACACATAATCAACTAATTATTACGGTTGAGAGAGTACTCGCTTGAAACGAGTATCCCGTACAGATACTTTTTAGTACGAGTACTATGGCTGTTCTGTAAATAGTTTTGTAATATGTAAAGAAACTTCTGATTAACCCACACCAATTTCAGGCTTAAATAACTTCCAGTTAGTCCTGCCCACTTCTAGGCTAAGCCCCGCCCATTCCAAGTACGGATACAGAAAAATGTCATTTGTTGAATTTGTTGTTTGTACTCGCTCATCCCTGCTAATTATACACTGCAGATACGTCATATATTCAAATTCCATCCAAAATATAGACCCTTTTGTGGTAAAACAAAACTAGTGCCGCAAGTGGAAAGGGTTTCTGATGGCGGCCTTAAGGCTTGTTCAGAAAGGACGTGATTAGTGCAGTGTTTGCCAACTATTCAGCTTTCTCTTTGGAGTGCACAGGAGCTCACCAAGCAGTTCATTGCTCGACGCAGCAACAAACTGCCCTGGCACATCGCGAGCCGCGGAAGATAGATTTCTTTGACAAGAGAAAGAAAGTTTCCTAGAATGGACAATGCAATATACAGTATATAGTTGTTTTAACTCACAGTATCAAATTCAAACAATAAATGATCTTTAATTAAACAAATTGCTTAACATAACATCATGAGTTGAAACTAAGCTTTTCTTTTCTTTCACATTTTTAAGGCAACAACTGAACTACCTTGATCATTTTTACAGTGCAGGTAGAAATTGACATTGTGTGTGTGTGTGTGTGTGTGTGTGTGTGTGTGTGTGTGTGTGTGTGTGTACCTCCAGTAGATGAGTATGCCCACTAGAACCAGCAGACAGAGGATGGTGAGAGTGGAGACAACAGCCAGCGGAACAACTGTCCTCTTCTCCCTCTCCACACCTCCGACCAGCCCGACCCGAGACTCGTGGCTGCTGTTGCTGCCTTCTGAGAGAGGAGAGGCAAAGAAAGAAACCAAAACTATGAGCTGAGAGACGCTAAAATGCTTCATAAAGCTGAGGGGAACTGGGTCATATTTCTGTGGGTTTGCCACTATGATTAATCCCTTTCACATTATACGTAGTCATTTTCATCCTCTGTTCTTTCTTAAGGATATTGATTATTGCAGCTTTAAGGGTTTATGTTTTCACCAGCAATAACAGTGTTGTCATGACATAATAAACAAAACAAAAGAGCGCCACCAACCTTTAGGTTAGCATTTCAAATTATGTGCATGGAAAGATATATGTGAGAGGGAAAAACTAAATTGCAAAGCGGAGGAAAAGCTGAGCAGTGAGTAACATTTACCTTCTGTTTGCTCCTCCGTGCCATCTGTCAGTCTGAGCAGAGGGACAAGACGCCCCAAGACGGGATTTCTTGCAGCATCAAACAACAACCTGTCCACACTTGAGAACTGCTGCAAATTACTCTCCCCAATTACAGCTGCATCACTACCCTCTTTACCACCTCCTGCGATGGGTTCCTCACTCGCCAGACCTCCATTTGTTTTACCATCATCATCTCCCTCTTTCTTGTCCTCCAAAGTAGAGTTACCCCCGACAACTTGACTGAAAGGGCTTCTGTTTTGACCCTCTTCGTCAAGTCCATTGCCATTTTCTTCACTGGTGCCAAACAGTGTTCCCACAGGCTTATCTTGATTGACAGACAGCTGGAGATCATCGCTTCTTCCATCTTCCCTTCCATCACTTTTCTCATCGCTTTCTTTTCCACCTACAGCTATACCTTCTTTGTCATCGCTGACTTTCTTTCTTTTTCCCTTTCTATCTTCACCACCTTCTCCAGAACCACTGACGTCCTCAGGTGAGCTAAAAACTCTAAAATTGGACTCAATTTCATCCCCGCTGCCGGAGTGAGAGTATAGTGTCTTTACTACTACAGACTCAACCTCAGTTTCTTTCTTTTCCTCTTTCAATGTGTCCCAGCCTTCTGTGCTATTGAGCTGTTGGGCACTCTCATCTGTTTCACCATCCACTTTCCTCACTCTCTGATTCCTAAAGTCGCGGACTCCTTCTGAATCTATTTTTTCTTCTTCCTCCCCACTTGGCTCATATTCATTCTCCTCCATTTCTGTCTCTGCAGCTGTTTCAAACTCTTTCTTACTACTTTTTTTGTGTCGGGCCCCATCTGGATCATTATCTGTTTCACTATACATCCTAATTCCTGTTGATCTACTCTTTTTTCCAGTATTATCCACCTTGAAGCTAATAACTGAATTTGGAATTGTAGAGAGGTCAGTCATGACTGCATCAAATTCCTGATTGAGCCTGTTGCTATAATGGCCATAGCCTGATCCACTTCCCTCTGCTGCCCTGTCTGTGTTGGATTCCTCTGAATTATAGGGACGGGGCAAAGTCAAACCTTTAGAATCAAAGAAAGATGATTTATGCCTGTCCGTCCTGGCTTGCTTTTCATTATTGGGGTCTGGCAAGATGTTCAGATGATCCTGAATCCTACCATCAATTTGATTATGAGAAGCTTTTGGGGTATTTCCTTCAACTGTGTTTGTTTTTGATAAGTTGATGGTACACGAGTCATCATCAGGCAGCAGAGAAAGGGAATATGCAGTGATTAAGCGATCCTGAGAACCCAAAGTGGTGGTGATCTGAGAGCGTTCTAAATCCATTTGTAGAGGGACAATAGAGTACTCTTCAGGGGACTTGTCGTTCTGATTAAAAATAAAGCCACTCCTCTTGTCTTCAGGGAGGGCAGGAGAAGGGCGGAAACTGCTGGTGTATTCATTAAAAGGTTTGAGCGATTGAGGTGTGACACTGGATAAATCTCCTTCAGCAGAGAATTCCCCTTCTGGGACAGAGACTGGGTTTTCAATCACTCCACTATGAGTGTTGGGAGAGTTCATTAAGCCAGAGGACTGTTCGATGGCTGAGTCCTCGACCTTGGACGTGGGTGTATTTGCTGCAAGAAAAGCCAAAGTAAAAGTCTGAAAAAAACCCACAAGCATTGAAATGTCACCTTTCCAAATGTGTTTCTCGTGCCAGGAAAGATGGAAGAAAAGGTAAGAACTGAACTTCCAAGATATGATGCACATGAAAGTTTGACTGAAGTTGAAAAGTTCAGACATAAGTACAGAGTCTTGACTTAACAAAGGAGGAGTTGTCTGTCATCATGATGACCACACCGTACACATAATGCAAAAAGACGGCTGGGTATTTGAAGTTATTTAGTGAGTTCCTGAATGAAAGAGATGTCATAAATCAACTTGGTGAAAATGAACTGAATAGGCACCCTCAAGATGAAGTGAACCCTGCATTCTGTGAGAAGGACAGAAGGAAAAAAACAACCACCAGAGTGTGCCACTGAGCCACAGAAAAGAATGCAGACCAAGAAGAAGAGTCCCAAAAGTAGATGCTCATCACTCAGCTTGAGTCCACTCAAGTAGATAAAATAGGGCCCCCTTTGAGCTATAACATGCTGCAAGATTTGAGGAAGAGTCAAGCATATATTTAATTTGTGAACCAGTTCAGAGAGTGATGCTGCCACTGATTATCCCTCCAATCATCAAAGGCAGCTCATTCTTTTCGACCATCCTCAATACTACCACCACCACCAGCATTGTCTACATCATGCCACTATACAACATGCCACCGAGATCACAGAGCACAGCAGTGATTAGCCAAACAGCAGTAGGCTATTAGAGAAGACAGGCAATTAAGTCCAGCTGCCTACCCACCACAAAAATACTTCTATTTATATCATGCTGCTGCTGTGTAAAATTCCTCATATAATAAATACACTTTTAACTGGAAGTAAAAGTTATATTTGTTATAGTATATGATATATATTTTTAGAAAGGGGGCTCTTGAGTGTTTCATCTTACCGTTAAACATGGGCTGGGTTGTATGCATCAGTACCATGAGAAGAGAGGAGGTGGTCAATGACTTGTAGACTGACTCAGCGAGTGTGTTACTGGCGGTTGCCGCCCTTGCTGTGATCCAAAGAGGGGATGGGGTGGACGAAACTGAGGCAATCGTTTCTGGTAGAGGTTTGTTGTCAGGGGCATCTCTGTCTTCAGAGGACAGCAGGGGGACAGAGTCCACTTTATCACCTGTGGGACAGAATGTACATAATGACGTGACGTGACATGTTAGGCCATGTCGTGACACGGCACAACATGACCTGACATGGATATGATTTTTCATGAGGACCAAACGCGAACCAGCATGACATTACCACATGTCACATGACAAGCCATGCTATGATGTCACAACATGACATGCAATGACAGATGATCTAACTTGCCATGATGCAATGTAATGTAGGATGTCATGTGACGTGATGAGACATCACATGATATGTTATATGAATGAATGAATGAAGTTTTTATTATTGTGTCATGCATACAACTATGCTTAGCTCGCATCAGCTAACAAGACACCACAAATTCAGATAAGCAGGATCCACAATACTGCATTTTCAAACAATACGTAATAATAAGTCCAAAAATAAAGAAAACCAATTTAAGTCATTTTAAGATTTTAAACAGACAAACTGACAAAACCTTTACTGAATAATCCCAGAGAAATCAGAGTGAATACTAGTTAAATCGTCCATCTTGCCTTTTTTTCTGGGCTTTTCAGGCAAAAGTAGACACATCAAAAGTGAACAGCCATTGAACATCCATTTCCTGTAATGATTTCAACTTAAGCAGCAGTAGCTGTTCATATAATTTATTGTTAACATGTATAAAATGTAGACATTTAAACAAGATAGGTGTCAATTTAAAATGAATGTATAAAACGTCAGCACAAAACCTAAACATGTCAGTGTCGATACTAGTGTTAATTTGAGCAGAATCTGGCAAGCGTCCGGGGATGAAAAGTCTTCTGCTACTACCCATTTAAATATTTATGAGCTGAAATTCCTCCGTGGCCCTGCATGAAGCGCTGCGGTAGCAGTACCAACCCTAGATGTTTTTGGTAAACAACAGTGCCGAAAAAAGATGAAGCTCATCCAATCAAATCTGACCTGGCAACGCAGCAGCAGAGACTGTTTCAGCAGAGGTGGTGGTTTCTAGTGGAGAGTTGTAGACTGTGTCTTCATAGAAGATGTCTGTAACTTGGATGTCCTCCACAGGAGGGCTGTAGAGGTCTGACTGGGGAGAAGGGAGGCCACTTTCACCAGCTTGGTCTGGTGGACCATGATTCTTTAACTGCAAGTAGAAGAGGCAGTGCACAAAAACATTGGGTTTCTTAGATAAGGAAACTACAAGAACATGATGATTCTATTCTATTATTGTGGGGGAAAAAAACAATAAAAGCAACTTTCTATTTTGTGTTTGCGTTGTTTGCTTCAACATTGGGTATAACATTTCTTCGGGTTCAAGGATGAAGGGAACAAAAACACTGAGAAAAAGAGCCAATGTGTTTAGTGAACTACCTGATTTGGCAACACTGACAACGAGGCTTCTTCTGTGATTTGTCGGCGGATTGTCGGCAGGGTAGTTGTCCGAGCAACTGGAAACAGGAAGCCCGGCTGCTCAGTTACCTCGGTTACCCATATTGCACCATTGCCATCAAAGCCTGCTTTAGTGAATGGTCGGTCTGTTCGCATCCTCCGGTCCTCGTCAATCCAGTTCTGATCCATTTCAGCTTTAGACCTGTTCCGGCCCGGTTTCCTTTTGGCATTCTGGTTGAGTTGAGTTTTCTGTAGAACGGCAGACTCAGAGGGAGTTTTCGGGCTTGAACGGGTGCTGACCTGGACCAGGAGGTTCTGGTTTTCTTGGGTTTGGTCTCGGGGATGGTTCTGGTAGACCCTGGTCTGCTCCACTGGGATCTCCTCCACGGGGCTGTGGTCCTCTGGAGACAAATCCACCTGATTCTGGTTCTCTGGCCTCTTCCATCTGGCTTTCGATGAGACCTACCACAAGGAAAAAGGCACTACTGTGTGGAGCTGTGTCACGAGATGTTTGGTTATATACTGTATGTGATTATGAGGGACAGGCTTTCTGAGTAACAAAACATATTTTTACACTATTGCTGCTTTTTCCTTGAATGTGTGAAGATTAATATTGTACAAAAGGCACAGTAGTGGTTCAATTATTTTGTTCTTCGTCAACATTCAAATGAACAGATAATAAAGATATGAGTAATCTCCAATAACGCAGTGTGGAAGAGCACAGGCTGTACTGGATCTCTCTTTCTTTTCTGTTGATCTCTCCTAAACATGCTGGAAAGTCCCTTTTAACCTTTTCTACTTCTCTCCAAACACTCAATGACAAGCCTCTGCTGACATAATTACGATCATTTGCATAATAATTAGAGACACTGATATGACTGAACACAGGGTGAACTTCAGCACGGCAAAATAATTCAGCACAGTGAATGCCAACATGCACAGTGGTGTCAGGCGCAACCACAGATTCGCAGACCGTCGTACCTCCCTGTTGTCTTCTAAATCTTTAGTGACAGCGTCAGGATCTGAATCACTTTCTAGAGAGAGGGGAAAGAAACACAAACTCACTTACAATTGCAGTAAATGTAATAGTACAAATACATGCTCTTACTTTGTAGGAGTTTTTGTATGTGTGTGTGTGTTTGTACCAGGGTCTTCTAACGGCATGTCTACTATAATCTGGTCGCTCCATCGTCCTCTGAGGCCATTGGTGCAAACAGCAACCACCTGAACCACATAGCTGCTGTTGGCCAGCAGGCTGGAGATGATGGCACCCTGCAAAGTCACATAGGTGAGTTTAAATTAGCGGTTCCCAACCTTTTTTTCCATCCGACATGCACCCACAACCCTGTCAGATAAGCTCATATATCCATTCATCAACACCATCCCCCATGCTACAAATGCGCTCATTTAAATCCATTTTGAACTGGATGTTATTGACACTACAAATTATATAAAAGAGGATATTGTCACAATAATGATCCTGGAATTGTTGATGTTTAGGTTTTTTTTCAGTAGATTTGATCAAGTTTGCATTCATACTACTACCACTTGGAAGTACTCAATGTTTCAAACTTATTAACTATATCTCTGCTCGCTTGCTAATTAGTTTTCATGCACTCTCAGTCGCAGGAGGTGGTGTTAAGATGTTACAACTGGTCAGCCTCACTAACACACCAACACTATATGATGTACTGTAAAGCAGAAATATAACAAACAATATATATTGGTTGTAATACTTCACAACAACATTAAGTACCTTTAAAAAAATAACTACCACGTAAAAAATAAATATAAAAACATATAAACTAATTAAAGCTACCAAACTCAGACAGAAAACAATACTGAAATAAGAATGGAAAACTATATAAAAAGAAAAAACAAATTATGCCCTTATACATATAAGGTATACAAACAAAAGGTGGGCTTTACACTACAATGTATGTTATGATTTCTTCATAACATACAGTCTTCATTTTTTTCGTATTAGGTTGACGTAGTATTGACGACTGAGAGTCTACATACATGCAAAGACATATAAATACACATGCACAGATATTGCTCGTCACATTGAGGGACACTCAGTGACCCGTTAAGAGGGTAAGATTGATCGTCACCATCAATCAATCGATCCCTTTGTTCAATCCCGATCCCAATAGCAGTCGCAATGTGAGCGTGACAAATAGAGACTGAGTGTGGATGAGGTGCTTGATGGAATTCAACACAAATTATCTTCTAATATTTCCTGGAGAGTAAAGGGGCAAAGGGAATGACTGTGTAATTTCAAACTATTATCTATTTATAAGTCAAATGCACCTGTGTGGACTGTAGATAATGGTCCAAAACATTAGTTGGAATTACATGCAGTCAAAGGTGATTGTATGCATGGTGTTTGTACGGTGATGTTTTTCTGTTATGTGGAGAGATCTTTCGTACCACATCCTGGTCCCCGTCTGTCCTGTACTCCTGCTTGCTCTGGTCTCGGCCCTGCAGCCTCTGGTAGGTGACGGTGTACCAGTCGATGGTTGTGTCGTAAACCACGCGGGGGCGCTCCCACGTCACCACGATGGTTGTGTCGTTCTGGGCCTCAGCCTGAACGTTCTCTGGCTCCGAGCTGCAGGCTGAAGATTGGCAGAAAGAGAAAAAGAGGGCAATTTGGTAAAAAAAAAGAAATATTAATTAATATGGATGTAATGCAAAAACTCAATAAAACGTCTGAAGGAAAGAGACAAAAAAATGAAAGGACAAGGGCACAACTAGACCCATAAATCTGAGCAGCACAGAAACAGTGCAACATTTCACATTAAGCTGAGTGTTGCTGAAGGTAACTTGATGTTAATCGACTGTATTGAGAATGGAAGAAAGCAGGAATACATTTTAAAAAGCCCAGCTCAGGAGGGGAGTGTGGCAATGAGTGGGAGGTGCATGCATGTGTGTGTATGGCTGCATGAATTTGTTACAAGCAAAAAGACCCTTTCTGAATTTCTGAATACTTTATTTCAATTTCAAAAAGCGCTGAAAAATAAATTGCCTGCGCCGAGAGGAGCAGGGGCACTGAACTACAAAGTTGAGCTCCCTGGCAACCGAAAAAGACCCACTTTACTTGAGGGTCGACTTTATGAAGACGGAGAGCGTCGTCAATCTTTTGATGATCATGACTGGGCTGACCTTGGAGGACAGCGATGCAACTACAGATGAAGCAGAAGATGGGTAATATTTTCTGGAAAAAATAAGATTAATAATATAATTTCTGTATAGATCCCAGAGGGGGGATTAAATTTTCTTCACCATGCTGCCCAGAATTTGGTATAAATTAGATGAAGTAAAGTATATGTTGGAAGTAAAAAGATTTACAGCTTTGGGGAAGTGGAGATTCTGCGGTGAACACTTTAAAGCTTAATAAGGAAGAATTTGTTATAGTACCAAATCATAACATGATGTATCTGCTGGGCATTAACAGGGCTGTTGATCAGTACCAGTGTCTCAGCTGATCTCTCCCAGTGCAAACTCACTTTCAGGCTTGTTTTAAAACTAAAACTGGTAGCACTTTACATTACAGCTCAATAATAACACAGTAATAGTTTGATAATAAAGAGATAATAATTAAGTAATGCCATGTAATTACCAATGTAATAACCAGGTAATAACTTGGTATTAAGAATGTGTATATCTGGTTAATATTAGACTGAAACTGGGTAATAAGGAGCCAAAAACAAAAGGTAAAAATGTGGAAACAGACCCAAAACTATTTAGTAATACAGTCATTTTAGTTATTTAATATTATAGTTATTTATAGTTATTTTAGTAACAAAATGGTAAACTTTTAACAACAAAATGGTTATATCTTAACTTAAATATTAAGGGTGACCTGATAATAACGAGATAATATAGGTTGATGTTTTCACAATATTACAAGCTACTATTATCATAATACCTTCAAAATTACATTAAAGCCAAAATTGGTAAGTACCATATTACAATGCTGATCCCTTATATTCCAAACATTTCTCTTTTGTTTCAAGGTAATACCGTACAAATTATATGTTTGATACCGTAACTAAAACGTGTGAGCAGGCATGTGATACAGTGGTAGAGTTTTCAGCTCCAAAGACTAAAAAGTCCAGCATCAAATTAAGCGCAGTGGAATGTAAAATGTTTATTCTGTAAATATGATATCTAAACCATGAATGTGAACCCAAAACAGTAAAAAGGAGAAATAATACCGTGAAATGAAAAAAGAAACTTATAACCAAAGCTGCATGTACACAGTTATCAGTTCTCTACCTATCAAGTTGTTAGAAGGCCTATGGGCACTGAGCCCACTGCCAAGACAAAACAGGCTCAGCACTGAGAGCGAGAAGATTGAAATGAAAGCAAACATAAGAATTGAAAGCAGAGGTGGAAAACATACATAAAAGCATCAAAATGACCTGAGAATGAAAATCAGTTTTTTATCTAAACCCAAAGATATTCAGTATTAAATAGTTGCTGATATTATTCTGTCAACCGTGTAAGCAACTTATTGTTTCACCTCTATTATGTTTCATGCTTATGGTTTCAGGTTTACCTTCATGCTTTGGAAATACTATTCACAGTTTGTTTGTTTTTTCCATTATTTAAGTTTTTTCCATTCACATTCCTCTGAGCTTTATTTTATATAATAATTAATTTGTCATAATTCTGAATCCAAAAAAACTAATTCAGTTATTAACATGGTTATATATTTTTATGATATTACTATATAAGTTATAATCAATGAAATGTGGGGGCTGGACATAGACTGTACAGAAACAGTGAATGTCTCCACCGCGACGTCACCCATTGGTTTGTGGTATGAAGTTTCAAATTTTGCATTTTGGCCATCGCCATCTTGGTTTTTTTGGAGATAGAAGTGACCATATGTGGACGAAACTACAGGCGTTTTCACACTGCCCAATTTTCCGGGATTATTACGCCACAGCCGGCATGCAGGAACAAGAGTGACGTTTCAACGCTGTTGTGTTACAAGTCGCAGCCTTTTTTTTAACGGTCTAACTCTGAAAGTCCACTGAATCCGACTGTGCCACAGTTTTGTTAGGTCCCCACCCCAGCATCAACGTCCACTGGAAGTGCCTCAGCATTGACTTTTTGTTAATTTGTCATTATTGTGCTGTTAAACTTCTTCACAGCTCTCTCTGACCCTGTTTTGTTCTGTCGCCTGCGGGCTGCATATCCACAGGAAGCATTTCAGAATCAGAGCATTTGCCTGCCTGATTTTGCTGACATGTTTAGATTTTTTTGATATGGTATTCAGTGCTTGCTTTTTGTGCTTCTACTACGATTAAGTAATTAAAAGGTTTATTTTTTGTCTGTTTTAACGATCCGGAGTCTGTACAGGGTATTTTATTTTGAAAATTGACCGGATGAGCTCAGGCAGCTGCGGCATTGGCGGATTCAGTGGAGGTAACTCTCTGTAACCCGGAAAGCAGGAACACTATGTGAAAACACACACGGTTGCGGGTTTATCTCGCAATATTTTGTCCAGTATGAATGAGCGAATGCGGCATATTGGCGGACATTTTTTCCTCGTTTATTATGGAATCTGTGTAAAGTGGCTTACAACAAAAACTAGCGACTGACACCATAAACTCATTAGGAAAGTGTTTAAACCTAGTCTGTGACAAATAAAGCAGAAACGCCATCAAATCAGTGGGTATGACCAAGGTGCCCATGTGCAAGGTGGTGATTCCCTGTTTACTTCAGCGAGCTTCCAGCGGTGACAACTGCGGAAGACCCATTCAACATATCGTGGATTCAGACAAGCAAGAGCATTTGGTAAATTAACCTGTCATTTAGACAGTACTGCATCTTCATCCATCTCAGCTATGTACAGTATGTTCTCCTGTGGTTTAAAAAAGTTATGTTAGCATGAAAGCGAAGTAACTGAATGGAAAAGGAGGTGAACTACACTTAAATGAAATGACCTGAACTGACTTAAAGTGGAAATAAACATTAACAAATGTATCTTTTTTAATCTTTTTTGTTTGTTTGGGTGTCTGATGACGTACTGGGCGTGAGCACATCTTCCACTCCGGTGTACGAGGCAAACACCTGACCCATGAACTGCTGCTGCTGCTCCCTGAAGTTGTTCTGCAGGTAATCCGTCAGCATCACGTATCCAGCCTGCTCCATCGTCATCACCTCACAAAACATCTCCAACTGGGCACAGGGAGAGAGAAACAGAGAGATGAGACAGAATGGGTGAACAGAAAGAAAGTAGAAACTGAAAAACAAAGACAAGAAGGATGCGTCTGTTGCATCTTCCCTGTTTCTGTACAGTTGCCAAAATAAACCTGACACTGATGCTTGTGAGTGTGTGTTTGTTTAAGAGAGTTGTGTTGGTGCCAGGCGGGGGCAGAGAGACAGCGCTGCTCTATTTTTGGTTAGCTCCAATGTGCCTGTGTCATGCCTTGCCACCCCCGTTTCAATCATACAAACATAGACAAACACAAGCACACACACACACACAGAATACACTCATAACCACTTTCATGACCTCATTCACTCTCCATTACTTTGCTATATAATTGATGATCATTACACAGATGATTTCATCAGCGGCCCTTAAACATCTTCAGCCTGGAATCAAGCTGCTGTAATGTTACAGCTTGTGTTGCATGACAGGCCATTTTTACCAGATCATGCCACTACAGAAACCTTATTCCATAAGATCCCGTTTTGACTAAACCTGTCACACTGCATCGCTTCAATGTGACATTTTGTTTTTATTTTGTGCACAGATGTCAAAGACAGCTGACCTGAAACCAGCCACAAACTGCAACCAGACAGTACAGTGATGTTAACTTTGTCCATTTTAAGGAGGCCAACTTTCTCAACTGAATACTAACGCAATGTAAATTGACTTTTCCATAATCATGTCATTAATTTGAAAAGAAGCTTTTTTTCTTTATGACTGACAGCTGTGCTTGAGTATGATGCTAATGCTTAAAGGTTAAAAGAGTGAATAAGAACCAGTGTTACTAAAGGTGACTCTTTATTCCAGGACTTGGGTCAAAGTAAAACATTATTCTAGAAGTCAAGACAAGGGTTTTCAAAGTCTAAGACTGTGGGCCTTCCTTCAGACAAAGCTTAGTTTTGCTCATATCCTGGATACCGATGGGATCATTATCATGTTATGATTATCTTAATAAGCACTCAATAACTGACTACTCCAAATATATAAAAAGGTCTGCCCTAAGGTATTTATTAGCTTCTGACTCTGGGAAAGACAGTCCATTGACTGAGCATCCCCTGAAGCTGTTCAGAGCCCCCCTGGGGAGGTCCGCCTCCCACTGAAAAGAGTTCAGATGTTCAGAGCACTCGTTAGTGGCAGTCTACATCTTTGTGTGTATGATAAAAACCTACTGACCTGTGTTTCTGATATGGCCACAGTATGTTTAAAGACGATCCATTCCACCATTTCAGAGCAGGGAGGTGCAGTTAGTGAGCCATTATAGATGTAATATTTATCTGTGTTATTAGGCAGCAAGGACCGCAAGTTGAAAGCTTCCATCGACCCGCTCTTACCTGGCAAACAAAAAAGCTCTGTCAGTAACAACATGTCGCAACAAATAGCAAGGGTTTTATCTCAAGCTGGGACTGCAAACAAGTATTTTAAAATAGTCAGACTGTATGTTCAGTCTATGATATGCATCATTATATTCATTAAAAGCCAATCAGTGACCTGTAATTTCATTTTTGTGTTCTAAGTGTTCTCTCACTGCTTGTTTAGTAAAAAATTAAATCCACCACTTAGTTTTGCTTCAATGAAATTTAATTTAATTAATGGTCGTTAATGGATTAGACTACACTGTCTCAGACTCTAAAGGTGAGTAAAAATGAAAAAAACTCAACTCAAACATCACATTTTTGGTTTTCTTTTTTTCAGGGACACCATTATTCTGCTGCTTTGATTCTTGATGAAACACATATTTTCTCTTAATAATGTGCCATCTTTATGCTCAGTGTAAAGCAAGTATCACTCCAGGTCACATGTCAGAGTAAAGTACAGTATAGCATCCCCGTATTGCTCATACATACAGCAGAGTTTATCTTTGCCAAAATGGGGAATTAGTTCCCCATTAGAAGGGATAATTGTGTTACCACTGCACCCAGCTACTTTCTTTATAGAGGAGATTTATTCCTTTTGACCCAATGTTGAAGAAGTGACCTACCAAACCTGCTGACAGTGTTGATGGCCTCTATAACAGGACTCAAGTTCTCGTTGTCTTCCAAGCTGACCTGTGGAAAAGAATAAGAACTTCTATTGTGGAATTCATGATAGGCAAATATGCTTTTATTTTAATCACTTTATGTTTAGTTATTTAAGGTGGAACAGGCTGATCTCTTACTCTGGGGCACAAATCAACAGGTCGACCCACCTCAAATAGCACAGCCAAGGCAGCGATCCTCCCTCCTTCCCTAATAGCATCATCCAGACTATGGAAGTCGTCTGGATCATAACAATAGATCTGCATCTGAACAAGAGCATGAAACAGGTAGGTTAGCTGAACTCAGGCTTCATTGGTTGACAAATGTATGAACAATAAATGTGTTGATAGACTGACAAACAGACAGCAACAACAGCTGTGTGTTTCTGTACCTCCAGAGGGTATTTCATCGCATTCAGGCTGTGCTCAGACCCATCTGACGTTGCATTGCAGCGGCCCCAGTGAAAGGTGATTCTACCAACACGGAATCTGGAGCTCAGCCCTCCTCCACTCACAAAAAACTCTCCCTCCACACTGATGGCCACTAAAACACACACATGCACTAAAATTTAATTTATGTAAACCACCTTGTTGTTAAAAAGCAGAAACGGGATATGCAAGTGTTTCACTGAAGTGAAAGGACCATGCGGGACCCTTTAAGGGTGAATGCTTGCCACTTGAGGGTGTTTTACCAAGAGATTCAGAGTCAAACGTTTCCTACAAAAGGCTTAATCAGAGTTATGTTTGAGGGCTTTGCTTGATTGACAAGACTTTCAAGTCGCTGAAACTCAGTTGGGGTGGTTGCTGTTTGGCCACCAGGCTCCAAAGCTTTGGGTCTAAGCAGCTAGCAAGATGGTAGCAAGTGAAAACCTTTAGCCTCAAAACATTTCTTTAATGATATCAAAGTCCATGAAAGACCAAAGTCCATGTTTCTCCACGGTGAAAAGGACACAACAGTGGATGGTTGCTACCACTTGGTTATGTTAATGTCTTCTTTCATTAAATGTGGATATTCTGGTCTGTCTGAAATGTATTTTGGACATTTGTCATCTCAGTGATAATTAGAACTTGCAATAACTGATTAGTTGGAAACTCGAGAGCAAACAAAAGACAACCTGTAAACACAAAATTTACTTAATATGATATTATTACCATATTCAGAGCCATGTTTCCAGCCTCCTTTTAGCTCTGATTTGGTCTCCACCAACTCTGGCAGGAAACATTTGGCTCTTTGGCTCCACTATGTTCAAATGTTCACCTTTGTTCAACTTTGTCTGTCTGTCATTTAGTGTTGGGCAATAGCATATAATGGGTTTTTGAGCGTATTTGAATAAAAATGCCTGCTGTGTCTACAAACAGTGTCTACCAAAACAGTAAAGTTGTGGACCCCAAAATGCAAACAATGCTGAAAGACACTAAAACACCCCATAGAGAATAAGGGAACTGCAGAGTCGGGTTATAATTCTCTATGAATTCTACAACTCTTTCCACATTATATATTCACTGTTAACTTGATCCTTCTCATATCAAAGCGGACAGAAAAATTGTGGTGCAGGATAACCCATAACAGGATATAACATTCTGTTTAGTGAGACTGTGCAGGCCATATATTTCTCTCATAATATCACGACAGCTATGCAATATCTGTTTAAATATGCAATTTCCTCTCTGACTTCACAGAGACAAAAAGAGATTAATTTTAGGACATTTACGGTACAGAGGGCGCACACACACACATACACAGGCCAGGCTGCATTGGAGAGATGGTGATGATAGCTCAGACAGCTTTCATTTGTTTATCAGGCCAGGCATCTCTCCACACGCTGCCTTTCCTCTCACTGTCTCTCCATCTTCTTCATTTTTCTCCCCTGATCTCTACATACATTTGCTCCTATTGCTCTTTTGTTGCCTCTTTTCTGTTGCTCATCATCTGTGCCTCTCGACATCGATCTTCCATCTTTCTCCACATGATCTCTCTGTACTGCTGTCCCTCTGGTTGTCTCTCTCGCAATGACTTGGTCTCTCCTCTCCCTTCTCTTTCATTGTCTGACTCTTTCTCTGTTAAATCCTCACTGCTTCTTACTCTCATTAACCACTGAGTTGTGAATCTTTTTTCCCCTGCTTTTGAAAATTAAGCTTCTTTCCACATCTAGGGATTAAGATGTCATGTTTTAGACCACCAGAATAATATCATAATCATTTCTATAGAATTAATCTATTGCATACTGTATCTTCCTCTTCTGGTTGCACTTAGCTGAGACTGAAAAGAAAAGAAAAAAAACCCTATATACTATCATCTTTATCATAAGTGAAACAGCTTGTGTTGTTTCCTACATGATGATATTTCAAACATGGCCTCCACAGCTTCTACTGGACTTTTGGGTTTTGGTCATGGCAAATTACACTCTGAATTTGTATGGATTGTTAAGATTTATTTCTCAGATAAGTAAACCAGGCTGTGCAGGAAAGGTACATAAAGAGAAGTAGACATTAACATACCAGTCTTCCCGTTGTTGTGGATGGTGCTGGACTCTGCCGTTAGTATGTCCCAGCCTTCGAGCTGTAGATTCTGGTACTGCAGCCTTACTTGGGTAAACATCTCGTCGATGTCCACAGGAGACTGCCTGGCGCTGTTACAGGACGGGTACTTCTTACCCCAGATGCGCTGGTTCAGGGTACCTGTATATGAGAGAGAAAAATGAAGAGACAAACATGTTGGGACTGCTGATCTGAAAACGTCAAACTCCCTGAAAGCTTGTTATAAAAAAAATTATTTTTCATCTGCTGTCACCAAAAGTCTGGTGTTTTAACTGCAACCTCTTGCTGTTTTGTATTAAAAAGCGATGTAGCAGATCTCCCGCCCAATGTAAAATTCTGAGGGTGATACTGAGACAGAGAGTCTACTAATTACTAAGTGTCTCAAAATGATTTCAATGCAGTAATAATTTATGGATGTTGAAAATGCTTCACATAGAGCCTTTAATATACCTGTACAATTTAGAAATGTGTGCTGCTCATGAGGGCAGATGGTCAAACTGCACATGAAAATCACACTTTATCTTTGCACTCTATGTGCGTGTGTGTGTGCATTGTTAATGCATGTGTGCATGTCTCATATTCTGTATACATTTCTCCTGTGAATTGTTTGGGGTGGGAGCGCAGAGCATGAATTCTATTAAGTGTATTTGTGTGTTTGAACAAGGCTGAGCTTTTCACATGAACAATGTAAAAGAATATGAACAGCATGACGACTTGCACAATTTGTCAGTCACAATAAAAGGAAATTATTAATTCTTCTATCTTCAGTGCTCATAAGACTTTCATTTAGTACGGATGTTTTGATAAATAAAATGTTTGTGAATTGTTTATTCATGACTGCATGTCACACTACCTGCATTTACATCTACTGACAGGATGTGTGTATGCTTTAATTTATGAAATATATTAATGTATATACATACAGTTCCTTCACGTGTATTGCCATACACTGTGTTGCATGTGTGTAAAAATAAACTCGCCATGATAACTGCAGACAAGTTGAACTGCTGTATATATTTGTTTGTAAGCATGAACATGTGTTAATTGACTGACTAATAATGTAAATTTGGTTTGATGTCAGGGGAAAAAAAATAAAACCGTTAATACATGTCATATTAGTAATAAATGCACATCCATGTTATCTGTGCGGAGCAAAGACTTACTGGATAATTGAAATACATCATTGGAGCTTCGTGGGTGGGTGTTTTTTTTTTAACAGCATACAGTAAAGACAATGGTTCTAATGAGGTCAGAGCAGATGGTTTAACTGTAACTGGTCATACATGACTTAACAGGTACTGGCTTTACATTACTTGGTGTGTGTGTGTGTGTCTACGTGTGCCTGTGTGTGTGTGCACGTGTGTGTGAGAGAGAGAGAGAGAGAGCGCACTTGTTTCACCATCTTTAAACTAAAAATCTATTACATTTTGTCATATTGCTGCCTGGTTTGGCAGCTGCAGTTGAACCTGTGTAAATGAGGACATGGATAAAAATGTCTAGTAAGTTCACTGGTTCAGCAACAGCCAGCTGCATTATATTTATAAGACTAGTCAAATATACAGTGTGTATGAGTAACAGTTGTTTCATTTCTTTTTGCAATACTGTGGCTTCTGGGCACAGTTGAAGCGAGGCTCAGTCTGCTGTTTGGCTGTTTTTTTCTGATGTGAAAATGAAAACAACACAATTCAACATTACAGCTTGTTTAAAATACAGATGTCAACCATTAGAGGCATTTACACAACAATCAACAACCAAGAATTCAGGGAATGAAAGTAAGTGAATGTAACATCCACAAAAGTAATGGAAACACAACTGGTGTGTGGTGTTTGTGTGTGTGTGTGTGTGGTGTGTGTGTGTGTGTGTGTGGTGTGTGTGTGTGTGTGTGTGTGTGTGTGGAGGAGCTCAGCCACAACACAGACAGCAGGGCAGAGGCTGCTGCAGTATAAAAATAATATATATTCTTTAGCCCACACCCAACACACCCAACGGCCTTCCTGATCTGAACCCGAGTGGGTGTTTGTTGATAGACTTCTGTGCTAGTCATGGATTGTCTATAACGAACACCATGTTTGAACATAAGGATGCTCATAAGTGTACGTGGTAGCAGAGCACCCTAGGTCGAAGATCGATGATCGATTTGTAATCGTTTCATCTGATTTGAGGCCACATGTTTCAGCACTCGGGTGAAGAGAGGGGCGGAGCTGTCAACTGATCACCATCTGGTGGTGAGTTGGGTCAGGGGGTTGGGGAAGACTCTGGACAGACCCGGTAAGCCCAAACGGGTAGTGTGGGTGAACAGGGAACGTCTGGAGGCGGCCCCTGTCCGTGAAATCTTCAACTCAAACCTCCGGCAGAGCTTTTCTGGCATCCCTGTAGAGGTTGGGGACATTGAATATGAGTGGGCAATGTTCAAAGCCTCTATTGCTGAAGCCGCAGCGGGAGGCTGTGGTCTCAAGGTCTTAGGTGCCTAAAGGGACGGTAACCCTCGAACACCGTGGTGGACACCGGTGGTCAGGGAAGCCATCCGACTGAAGAATGAGGCCTTCCAGGATTTGTTGTCGCGGAGGACTCAGCTCTGCTGTGGCAGAGAGACTGCAGCGGGTGTGGGAGAAGTTCGGAGAAGACATGGAGAAGGACTTTCGGTCGGCACCAAGTGCTTTTGGAGAACTGTCCGCCATCTCAGGAGGGGGAAGGGAAACCGTCCAAGCTGTGTACAGTAAGGATGGGACCCTGTTGACTTCAACTTGGAAGGTAATTGTTTTTTGTGATGTTATTATTCCGCATGTTCTATCACAATGACAGTTAAAAGCAATTTACTGGTCAGCATAAGACAACAGAAACAAAAGACAGAAATGTCACATAGCAACCATAAAATGTCACTACACCTTCTCTAGAATTACAGAGGTCTGTATAATCCTGCACACAAACAACAGACCACACAGACACAACAGAGAGTGAGAAAAGAAGAGACCGACTGCAGCTGAAATATAGCTATTGTTAAGTAGCTACTAGGCTTAAGTAAAAATGAAATGAAAAAAAAAAGAAATGTGACAATTTCTAACTTGACGTGTTTTTATTTATTTATACTGATATTCAACATATTTGATAACGTTGGAGCAGCAGAAGAAAGAAAGACTGTGTTAGCAATAGTTTGGCGTTTTGGGAAACAAACTTATTAGCTTCCTTGCAGAGAGTTAGATAAAGAGGATTGATGCCACTCTCATGCCAACAAGTTGAGATTAGATGGAGAGTTCTGTGCTGTAACTATTTCTTGACGGCCAGGCGCAATGACTTAATAGTTACAGCACGTATCTCCCCATAAAGCCACAAGTGATGTTTCTACATTTCGGTGTGAATTAAACAAACGAGGTATGTGGTAATTAGTGAGCTTTGAAGGTCTTGTTAGGCATATTTTGGAGTCTTTATGCTATGCTACATTAAATAATCAACTCCTGCCTCTAACTTCACAGTTAAGGCTGAGATAAGGGGTATAAATCTTTTCATCTAATGTTCAGACGGCTCTTCTCGCTCTCAAGGGTCACTTCCCCTAAAGTATCTTTCTCTCTCTGTAGATACTGTTTTTTTTGCTCAGTGACCTCTTGTGGTATTGAGCCCTACAGAGATGCAGTTTCATTAGCCAAGGTTTACGCCATAGACACCGTCTATAAAGATAGATGACATGACAGCTCCAAAAGTGAAGCCTAAACCTCTCTACCTCTGTGGTTAGCAGCAGTATATGTCATCAACCCCCGTCCCCTCCATGTTAATAAAGTAAGTACAAATCAAATACATTTTTCCCAAAGACGGTCTCTGTCATTTTAGGAAATTCTTATCACGCTGATGTTTCTTCAAGTGTTTTCTGATAAGTTTGGGATTGATTAATTGTTTGGTGTTATAAAGAGAGTGTTCGCATCATCATGCTGAGGCCTGCTCGATGATTCGGCTGAAGTGTATAGGCAGGACCTCAATAGAGCGGTTCCCAAACCCGATCACTATAATTCCATTGTGACCTATATTTTGTATTAAAGTGCTAGTACTGTACAGTGTGTATATATGTGTGTTTCGGGGAAATGACAGTGGCCAATCTGGCCCCTTCAGACGCATCCATCAGCATCATTAAACACAGCCACAACCACACACACAAACACGCACACCGATGTACTCTTCTGACATAACGCTGCCATGGCAACAAGTAGCTGACAGGTTGGAGAAAGGAATAAAAAAAATCCCCTGAAGCTAGACTTCCTGTCTTCATTTAAAATCCATAAACACACAAATGCACGCACACCCA